TAAAGATACAAAGCAATTTCCATTGCTATGATTGATTGGATAGATTTTTCAAAGTATGATGTCCTAATAAGAAAAATTACAACGCTATGAATTCATGGAACTTTCATAATGCAATGCAGCCCTTATAAGAAAAAGTTGGAATTACAATGTTGTAACATAAAGAAATGGATGCACAATGCTATAATGAACAAACTATATAAAACTCACCTCAGATCATCCTACTTTCAGTGATTGCTTATTATATGTGCAATCCTATTTTCATTTCATCTTATTACAACATTCTACTTTCAAAATCTACCCAGTTTTAGCAATCACATACAAATTAATACACAAGCATCATTTCCTGGAGATAATACACAAGCATGAGTGTTAGGAACATAGGGGTATTTTTGGAAATACATAAACATGGTCATAGACTCATATCTTTTGTAATCAGTGGATAGCTAAATAAGGCAAGTAATTTGATAAAGCAAGTTCTCATAATCTTGTAACAGAAAGGCATAATCACCCAACGCACTTATGTGAGATTCAATGGAAAGCTAAATAAGAACATAAAAAGCATCAAGTGTTTTATAGTTTTAAGGGTAAAAACATACATGTTCACACTTTTGATTCTCAGGGGATCTTCTTTTCCTTTTCTCCACCATACCATAAGCTCTTTATTTGGTTTCTAAAACCTTTTCTTGTTGCAGAGTAATGAATGGAATTTGTCAAACAAGTTGAAATTAAGAATAACAATCAATCTCACAGTAATGTAGGAAAAGGAATAAAGGGTAAGAAAAGATTCAACTTTGGTAGACTTGGAAAAGAAAAAAGCACAAGTGAATAAGAAATAGAAACCTCTGGTGTCCACTTGTCTAACAATGTTTGTAACAAAATCAACTGGTTTTGCTGAAGCACCAACTCATATCATATGGCAAAAAATCAACAATCAAATGGCAGAAATCATGAAAGATGTTATTGGAGATAGATGCATAAGTCTGTTATTATGAACAACAAGATAGAGTAGAGTACATTTTCTGAAATTACAAGATTCCTAACAAGAAGAAACAAATGTAGGATGCTATAATAAATAAACCAGCAAACTTATGTTGCTATTTTCTCACATTAACCCAAGAAATATATGATTGGAATCAAAACACAATCAACTTTCTTCAGAAATCTGATTGTCATACATTGAACCATGATCATGGAAGTTTGTTTTCTTAAAAACCATGCTACACAAACACTAGATGGAAAATGGAATAAAAATGTTTTACAAAATGACCAACAAAAATGGATGCAAAAGACATAAAACATGAGAATAACTGGAATTACACTACCTGTGCATTATTAAAAACTCAAATCAAAGAAACTCATGTTAGAAAATGATACAAGCTTTAACCCCAGTTTCTGATGGAAGAGATGCAATTGATAAGAAATGATTAACCATCGTACCATTATCAAAACCCCACAGAAGGAATCTCTGACAAAAAGCTCATCAGCAATTGAAATGTCATAGTGATTGATTGATGATTAGCAGCAACTAATATCACAAATTTAAGCGTTTGAAAAATATGTCTTTGTGCAGAAGAGTGATTCACATCATCCGGACCTGCAAGATCAAGATTGGGCATTAACTTCAGTTTACTACATTTGCAGCATCAAGAAAGACGATTTATGTCAATGTTTTATATTCAGTTTTAGTGAAGAAAGCCTAATATAGTGGATGATCAGGAAATCTACTGACTAGCTTCAAAGGATAATCTGTCACCAAAAGAGAAATATGTCAAGCTTTCATATTCAATCATTATAATTTTTGATGATGAACCAACCTGTAAAAGTAAACACTCTCCACTTTCATGTCTTCAATTTCTTTGGAAGATCAACATTGTACCAGTGTTCTACCACTAACATAGCAACCAAATCAGTAACTATGGTGTTAAATGTAGAGCAAAAGAAGATGGTGTATTTACATTAAGAATATGAAATCTAACGTTGATAAAAAAAAAAAAAAAAAAAAAAAAACACTACCATGGAACAACAAAAATGTACATTGATTTAGGCAAAAATGTCTCTTGATTTGATGACTGAAACAAACTAATATCAAATCCTAACCTTCATGAGTGTCCTTCAAAACATCATCCCCAAATGTCTGTAACATATCAACTATTCATGTCTTATTTTTACAGCTTCTCCTATTAAAACTAATTTCGTTTCGAGTTTTCAGAAAGTGGACCACAAAGATAGATGCATTCAACAATTCACACATCGAATCCAAATATTTGATATGCAATATAAAACTTTTAGGTGTCTCGCTGATTCTAAAATATGCCACATTCTAAAGTAGTTGGTTATGTACAATAAATCTGTTTCGCGTGTAATTATGAAATGCAAATATTTATATTCAATATTTTTTACATCATAATAAAATTTATATATTTAAGGAGTGAAAAAACCTCTCTGATGATCCATCGTGGACCAAAAGAAAAAAGAAAGATCCAGAAACATGTTAATACCTAGGATCCATGTCAGTTGAAGAAAAAACAAAAAGGCCTGCACATTCATTATAATCAAAGACTTACATGTAACTAACTTAAATGGGAGAATGAGAAAGAATGCACTTACATGTAACTAACAGGATGATCAAAGGCTTTATGGTCTGAAAAGGATACACATATGTTGCATCCAAGTTCAACTCTTACAACTATGTGTAACTTTTAATGCAGTATAAGCGTATAACTAGGTGAAAAAAAAAGGTGATGGTTGTTCCTTCACTAAAGCACTAACTCATATGGGAAAAAAATCAGCAATCAAATGGCAGAAATCATGAAGGATTAACTCAAATTAAAGAAACTCATGTTATTGGAGATAGATGCATAAGTGTGTTATAATGAATAACGAGACAGAGAATATTTTTGAAATTACAATATTTGAAACAAAAAGAAACAAAAGTAGGATGTTATAATAAACAAATCAACAAAACTATGTTGCTAATTCTCACATTAACCCAAAAAATACATGATTGAAATCAAAACACAATCAACTTTCTTGAGAAATCTGATTGTCATACATCGAAACATTAGACGGAAAATGGATTAAAAATAGTTTACAAAATGACCAACAAAAATGGATGCAAAAGACATAAAACATGAGAATAACTGGAATTACACTACCTGTGCATTATTAGCCTCTTCTGTTAATGAAACCAGATAACATAACAGGGCTTGTCTTCAATGTCTTGAGCTGCACATACCATAACCTTTTTATTTTTCAAAGAGACTATTTATGAAACAAGGAAAAGAGAGCACTTACATTTGTTAAATAATTCTTTAGCTGGATTTTGAGCTTAATTCCATCCTACATATATGCAACAAAATTATTGCATTGGCTTTGATTGATGACTAGAAGCCACAATTTCCAACATATGTTTCATTACCACATCAAACCTTCCAAGATTATCTATTGAAGTAAAACAAAATTATCTATTGAAGTATTAATATATGATCCAGTAACAAAAATTGCCACTACAAAGAATGAGATGAAATCCATACTTTCTTAACATAATTGGTTTGGCAGAAATAAAAGGTAATAATAAGATGCTTGTTCAAAAATATCACAGCTGAATGAAGAGGTTCCTGCAATATAAATTGAAGCTTTTTAACAATATTCTCATGTATTAATATTTTTATTCACAAAAGAGAATTGATTATTAGCTCATCAGAGATATGAAAGTACACACCAACACCCTCTTTATATTGATCACTTCTCAGCATGTGGCATTCCCTTCCCCGATGTCCCATTTCGATTAAAAAAAAAACGGACGTTTTAAATAAATAAAAAAAGCGGACTTTTTAATACAATAGGTCTCAGTTATGCCATGTCATCCAACAAATTCAATACAGTGTAAAGTTTTGTTCCCCATTAAGTCAAATAGAAACAGCAGTTTTGCCATGATGTGATCAAGTACAATATCATTATCATGAACTTAATTTGGAAACAACATAGTTTGCCAATATGATCTGGTTGGACTTTTCATAATTTGTTGGTGTGCCAAAGGAGGATAAGATTTATGTAACTGAAATAAGCATGAGGAGTATTACAACAAATTAATGGTGACCCAATTGGCGTTTATTTAAACATATGATGGATGGAACTTAATTGTGACTCAACAAAAGGTTTTGAAGCTACCTGAGCAATAAGTTCAGAAAATGATACACTTAACCTTTAACCCCACCTAGTTGTTGATGGAAGAGATGGGATCAAGCTCATCTAGCCCTTCAACCACCTACATATATATATATATATATATATATATATATATATATATATATATATATATATATATATGTATATATTATATTATCAGTCAATATGAGTTCTTGAAGGTTGTAGCTTCATTTCAATGAAGAATCTTATCAGTGCAACCAATAAGAAATGAACCAAATGATTAACTGTCAAAACAACAGAAGTTATCAATTAAGTGAGTTCATAACAAATCAAGAACAAATGAAGAACAGGATATGGCTTCTACAGAAAGAGCATTTCTGTATGCATTAATGACATGTTTTATTTGAGGTTCTTGTAACATTTCTGGTCCCTGTTCCAAGTAATTTGGCTATTTTTTGCAGATTAATTGGTCCCAAAATTATTGTCATTTTACTAGAAACAAAGATCAAAAAAGTTATAAACCTCAATTTAAAAAATACTTAATAAAAGATGGATAAATCATTTATATACTGTATTTAATTATTGTTACGAAATCATTGATTTTCAATAATGAAAATTATCAATTAAAATATTAATATATGATCACGTAACAAAAATTGTCACCAGAAAAAATAATATATAATCATGGAACACTTCAGAACATAATAGGTGTCACTCAATTCCACCATCATCTCATCCAACAATTTCAAACATGAATGAAAATACATTGCCCATTAAGTCAAAAAGAAACAACAGTTTTGTATGCACGATGTTATTAGTTAGGTACAATAAGGAAATCATTATCATGAACTTTATTCAGACAGAAGATGAAATTTGAGTTTCTTACTCCTTGATAAAATCCAACTAAGCCACCATAGTACACCAATATCATCTGGTTGGAGCGTGTGAAACAATTTGCATTTTGTCCCCCATTGGAATCTTTTTGTGCCTTTTGTCTCTGATACGTGAATTTCAAGGGTGGATGCTGTCACAAAAAGATCAGCAACTCAAATGTCAAAGTGATTAATTAGCAACTAATACAAAGTTTAACCTTTTGAAACTATTAACTGTGGCAAATGGCAAAGTCTGTGTGGCACACAAAATCTGGCTTCTACAGAGGAGTGATACACATCATCCGGACCTGATTCACTTAACTGCAGTTTTATACATTTGCAGCATAAAGAAAGACAATTTATGTCAAGCCTTTGTACTGAAAAAAGCTTGCATATTGTAAGTACCAAAACTGAAAAAAAAAAAAAAAAAAACAGCTACACTCAGGGACCAAAATTTAAAAAATACTTAAAAAAAGATAGATAAATCATTTATATACAGTATTTATTTTCTGTTACAAAAACATTGCTATTCAATAATGTAAATTATCTATTAAATACTAATAGTAAAACAAAATTATTTATTAAGATATTAATATATGATCAAGTAATAAAAATTGCCACCAGAAAAAAAAACGAGATGAAATCCAAACTTTTTTAAGATGATTGGTTTGGTTGAAAGAAAACGTAACAAATGAATGCAAAAAAAATGATTTTTTAACAACTTTCTCATATACTAGGCGTAAGGTCTCAGTTATGCCATGTCATCCAACAACTTCAGTTATCCTACACGAATGAAAATACAGTAATCAAGTAATAAAGAAACAACAGTTTTGCCATGATGTGATTAAGTACAATAAAAAAAATCATTATCATGAACTTAATTCGGAAAAAACATAACATTTTTGTTTCTTACTCTTTGATAAAATCCAGCTGAGCCACCATAGTACGCCAATATGATCTGGTTGGACCTTTCATACATGTGTGCTAAAAAGAAGATAAGATACATATAACTGAAATAAGCATGGGCAATATTATATTACAACAAAATAATGTTGAAACAATTGGCATATACTTAATTTCAAGACTTCCACTAGAGAAAAAAAAAACAATTACAATCGGGTTTCCATGGAAAAGTATAGTCCCCTAACTATGTAAAAAAAGAAATAAGTTCCACTTATATTAAGAAAAAAAAAATTCAACTATAGTAGACTTGAAAAGAAAAAACATAAGTGAATAAGAAATAGAAACCTTTGGTGTCAGCTTGTATAACATATTGTAACATCATCTGGTTTTGGTGGACAAAAAGGGTGATGATTGTCCCATTGACATCAGTCTAATGCATGCCAAAAGCAGAAGAGAATAGAGTAAGGATTATTATATTTATACATACCATACGTTTGCACTTCATCTTTTTAGTACACACACAAATTACACCAACAGGGTATGATGGTTGATCATCGGATGTATATTACATCTTAGGAACATCTACATCTGAAACAGGAACATCATTCATTAATATTGGTTTAAATGCAAGAAATACTTCCTATTATAGAATTGTGCTTGAAAAAATCTACCCAGTTATAGCAATGTCATAAAGTATGTTAATCCCATCATTTCCTGGAGATAATACACAAGCATGACTTTTAGGAACATAGGGGCATTTCTGGAAATACATTTAAATGTCACTGGTTTTTGATAGTCATGTACTCTGATGTTAAGTAAGACAACATACTGCCTCTCCTCTCTGTGTATGTTGAATCATATGAATAAGATCCCATGAAAAATGCCCAAACCTAGAATTACATGTCATCATTAACAGATTAACTTAAAACTGGCCAAAAGGGTAAATGAGTAAATTGTACCAAAATACAAGGTTGACGCACCTGAAATTCCTTATCTGATTTCTGCAATTTTGGTCTCAAAGTTACGTCATTTTACTAAAAACAAAGATCAAAAAATTACAAACCTCATAAAGGATCAAATTTTAAAAATTCAGCTACACTCATGGGCCAAAATTTAAATATTACTAAAAAAATAGATAAATCATTTATATATTGTTATTTAAATACTGTTACAAAATCATTGATATTCAGTAATGAAAAATATCCTTTAGGTACTAATAGTAGAATAAACTTATGTATTAAAGTATTAACATTTTATCAAGAAACAAAAAATTGCCACCAGAAAGAATGAGATGATATCCATAATTACTTAACATTATTGGTTTGGCTAAAATAAATAGTAACAACAATAAGTAATTTAAGCTAGAAATTTCGGGTTGTCACAGTCTTAAATGCCCAAAGTGCATCATCCAATTCGTCCGCCCAATCTTTACTATTATTGACCAATTTCTCCAATATTCTTTTGAGTGCCCTATTTGTAATTTCGGTTTGCCCATTTGTTTGTGGATAGTAAGGTGATGAAAATCTATGGCGTACCCCACATTTTTGCAACACTTTTGCTAGTTGATCATTAGCAAAGTGGGTACCCCTATCACTAAGTAACGCCTTAGGCACTCCAAATCTAGAACTTAATTTCTTTAAGAATTTTACCACGACCCTTACATCATTGGTTGATAATGCTTGTGCTTCCGCCCACTTTGACACATAATCCACCGCCACTAATATGTATTTATTGCCTTTGGATGAAGGAAATGGTCGCATGAAATCCACACCCCATACATCAAAGATTTCACAAACTTGAATATTCCTTTGGGGCATTTCATTCCATGCCGATATATTACCCATTCTTTGGTAAGCATCACATTCCCTTACGTGAGTAGCAGCATCCTTGAAGATAGTAGGCCAATAAAAACTAGCATCAAACACTTTTTTAGCAGTGTATTGTACCCCACGATGTCCTCCTGCCGGTCCATTGTGGTAATACTCTAATATGTCCCGACTTTCCTTGCCAAAAACGAATATTCTTATGATTCCATCCGCACAGCTCCTAAAAAGATATGTCTCATCCCAGAAATAATATTTAATTTCTGAAAAGAGCATCTTCTTTTGTTGATGAGTGAAGCCTTTTGGAAGGTAGTCATCAGCCAAGTAATTTGCAATATCCGCATACCATGGTTCTTCCCCCATGATTACCATCAAATACTCTTCCAGGAAGCTATCTTCAATACCCATGTTGTCTATCTCTTCCCTTTCTGGATTTTCTAGTCTAGAAAAATGGTCAACAACTATATTCTCCATCCCTTTCTTATCCTTGATATCGATGTCAAATTCTTGTGGTAACAGCACCCATCGAATCAATATTGGCTTTGCATCCTGCTTGGCAAACAAATACTTAATAGCATAGTGGTCTGTGAAAACAGTTTTTTTAGATAAAATAAGATAGGGGCGGAATTTGTCAAAGGTATACACCACGGCTAATAATTCATTTTCGGTTGTGGTGTAATTTTCATGGGCCGGATTTAAAGTATTTCTTACATAATAGATGGGTCGAATATGCTTGTCAACTCTTTGGCCAAGCACAACTCCTAAGGCAAAGTCACTTGCGTCACACATTATTTCAAAGGGCATATTCCAATTCGAGGCAATAATGATCAGAACATTAGTTAATTTTTCTTTCAAAATCTCAAAAGCCGCTAGACACTCTTTGGAAAAATTAAATGTTGTATCTTTTATAAGTAATTGAGTTAGAGGTCTAGTTATTTTAGAAAAATCTTTTATAAAACAGCGGTAAAACCTGCATGCCCTAAAAAAAAACTCCTAACACCCTTCACATTATTCGGTGGGGATAATTTAGCAATAGTATCAATTTTTGCCTGGTCCACCTCAATCCCTGTCTTGGATACTTTATGACCTAATACTATGCCCTCTTTCACCATAAAATGACATTTTTCCCAATTTAGAACTAAATCGGTCTTTTCACACCTAGCAAGCATCAAGTCAAGTTTAGTAAGACAATTATGAAAAGAAGAGCCAAAGACAGAAATATCATCCATAAATACTTCCATAAACTTTTCCACCATGTCGTGGAAAATCATTGTCATGCATCTTTGAAAGGTTGCGAGTGCATTGCATAACCCAAAAGACATGCGACGATAGGAAAAAGTCTCACTTGGACAAGTGAAAGTAGTCTTTTCTTGGTCAATTGGGTCTAAGGGAATTTGGAAGTAACTCGAAAATCCATCTAAGAAACATTAATAACTATGGCCAGATAATCTTTCAAGCATTTGATCAAAAAAAGGAAGGGGAAATTGGTCTTTACGAGTGACATCGTTTAACTTTCGGTAATCGATGCACACTCGCCAACCGGTTGTCGTTAGAGTTGGTATGAGCTCGTTCTTCTCGTTCGTCACTACTATCATCCCTCCATTCGTAGGCACCACTTGAATAGGACTAACCCATGGGCTATCGGAAATGGAATATATGATTCCCGCATCTAGAAGCTTGACGTCCTCCTTCTTGACCACTTCTTGCATGTTCGGGTTCAACCGCCTTTGATGTTGCACTACCGGCTTTGCTCCTTCTTCCAGGTTGATCTTGTGAGAGCAATAAGAAGGACTTATCCCTTTAATATCAGTGATCTTCCATGCAATGGCATTATTTCTCTTCTTCAAGATGCGGACTAACTCTTCTTTTTTAGATTTGGTGAGGTCAGAAGTTATAATTATAGGTTTTTGCTCACCTTCTTCAAGAAATGCATACTCCAAATGATCAGGTAAAGTTTTTAGGTTTGATTTCGTGTTTTGTACACTGAACACGTCGAGTCCAGGCCAAAAGTCCCATTTTATCGCAGTTTTTCGAATGGACACGTCGAGTCGGTAGGTGCTACTCGGCGAATCGGGCTTTCAGCACTTCTGATTAACTCATAATATTTAGCTTCTTCAAGCAGTCTCTTTATCTCCATCAGGTCTCTTTCAACATCAAAATCATCTTCAAAGGTGATGGTAGAATTTCTTGTCTTGTCTTCTTTCCATTCTTCCATTAATTCTTCCAACATATCAACCGAAAATGTCGTGTCATCACTATACCATGCATGCTTCATGGCTTGATCAACTCCAAATGTAACCGATTCTTCTCCCACCCTAAGGGTAAGTTTAGAATCTCGCATGTATGCTATATCACTTGCGGTGTTGAGGAAAGGTCTTCCAAGTATGATCGGTACTTGAGGGTCTGCTTCCATGTCTAGAACTATGAAGTCCGCGGGGAACACAAATTCATCAACTTTCACCATTAGGTCTTTGCATATCCCCCTTGGAAATGTTACCGTTTTATTAGCTAAGTAAATTGCCATTCGAATTGGCCTTGGCTCCAGAAGGTCCAATTTCTTAAAGAATGAATATGGCATAAGGGTAACACTTACCCCCGAATCTGCCAATGCATAGATAGTTGATAAATTTCCGAATTGGCAAGGCAAGGTCAAACTACCTGGGTCACCCATCTTCTTAGGTAATTTGTTCAACATGGATGCTGAATAATTTTTATTTAGAACCACATTCTTCACTTCTTCCATCTTCTTTCTATTTGTATGAAGCTCCTTTAAGAATTTGGCATACTTAGGCATTTGTGCAACCGCCTCGATGAATGGCATATTGATTTGAAGGGATTTTATGTGTTCCGGGAATTTTTGGTAATCAATATCGTGCTTATCTTGTCTGGATCGACCTGGAAACGGAAATGGAGACTGATACGGTTTAATAGGAGGCTTATTTTTTTTTTGTTCAGGTAGGGGACTCGTCGAGTCTGTGTCTTCGACTCGGCAAGTCGCATCGAGTTATTGCGATTTTTGGTTTTCTACCTCTTCCTCTTGCATCAATTTAGGATCTTCTTTCTGGATAGGGGCTAGATGAGTAATTAACTTACCACTCCTAGTTTTCATGATATTTATATGTGCGCCTTTCAGATTATTTTTGGTATTACTAGGAAGTCCACCCGGTCGTCTCTTGTTTAATTGTAGTGCAAGTTGGCCTAGATGTTTTCACTACTAGAAAAAAAGCCTTTTACGACGTTCATTGCGCATCGTAAAGGGCTCAGACGACGCGCAAATGCGCGTCAAGGAAGGCCCTGTCATAAAGAGAGACGACACGCTTTGCGTGTCGTCTATAGACGACGCGCATTTACGACGTTCATTTACGACGCGCAATCACGACGCACGTTTATGACACGCAATGCGTATCAAGAAAGGCCCTGTCATAAAGGAAGACGACACGCATTTGCGTATCGTAACCTTACGACGCGCGTGTTAATGACACGCAATGCATATCAAGAAAGCCCGTGTCAAGAAAGGCCATGTCATAAATACAGATGACACACATTTTTGCGTATCATAATTTTAACTGTTTAAAAAAAATTATTTATAGATTTACTAATTTTTAAATTAAATTTCCATTTCATGTCTCATAATAGAAAATAAAATACCATATACAAAAATATAATACATTGCACAAAAGTTGATGTCATACAAATAATCATTCCAATAGTAGACAAATGGATAAATCTCAAAGGGATCAAAAATATGTTTGTCTTCTAATAGAACTTATACACAAGAAAGTAATGAATTTGCTATTGAACTTATACACAAGAAGAAGGTGTTTGAATTCAGAAAATGTCGCAGCAACTGAATTGGCCCCAGAAGCTTGTGATTTGACTGCAACTGAGATAAGGATACCATGTTTACTCTTCTTAAGCTTACTAAATAAACTTGACAATAAGATAATATAAAACTGAATTATTATTAAGATTAAGCCATAGATGCACTCAAGCTATACAATAAGCTAATTGGGTAGATTTTTCAAAGTACAATGTTCTAATAAGAAAAAATGAAATTAGGATGTTATAACTTTGTAATAAATAAATAAATCAATGAAAGTGTATTGTTACTTTATGAATCTAACCCTAAAAAAAAGCTATAGAACTGAGAAGGCGAAGATTAACACAACTTTATTTTGCAGCATGAATGTCCCCGTTATGATGGATACCTGTTGATGACAAGAAACCAAATTATCAAGATAAAAATAATTATAACATTTCTTGCATTTTGCATAAATATGTGCAAATATTATCTTATATTAAGTAGTAAACTAATAGTAGCATGCAATTAATGAAGTAGACATATTTAGTCCCTGAAAAACTTACAGATAAAACATTCTTTATAATGGATGCACAATTTAAAGTCAACGAGAGAACAAATCCAATCAACATGGCTATGAATGGATTACTTGTGAGTAGTGGTATAGACACAACCTACACAAAACATATTCAAGACCTCACTTATCAAACAAACATCCCATTTTTCAAGATTCATATATAAAACTTTTTTTCTCTCATGCAAAATCAATAATTACATAAAAAATGAATAAATAAATTAAACAAATGGTAAAAGAAAAACTAAATTAAAGAAAAATTGCTTACTCCTGCAAAACGAGCTACTACTATGGGGCCAAATATCCTCTCCATAATTGGATACAATGTGAACTGGAAGTGTAAATCATATTCATACCTGTTTATAACCAGGGAGCACCTATGAAACATCATTATGTAGCTCCTCACTTCTAATTTCCTGCAAGTACTGTAAATCAAAATAATAAGCTAAATTGTAACATCCGGACTTTTATCAGGTATCTTGTTAATTGCATTTTGTTGATTTGTGAGGGGGACTCGGCGAGTTGGAGCTCAGACTCGCCGAGTAGGGACGCGGATTTGGACGCAGGATCGTGCCTGGACTCGACGAGTCCAGGGTATGGACTCGGCGAGTCTGCACTGTGTAATGAAACCCTAATTTCTCGGGTTTGAGACTTATTTAAAGGGCCTAATGGCCGTCATTTGTGCCCACCAGCCCTTGAGTGAAAACCTAATCGTGTGTGAGCACTTTGAGCTAAGTAGGAGGCCATTATTGACCTTGAAGGTGCCATTTTTGCAAGGAAGAGAAGAGCTAGCCAAGGGAGAGCAAGAAGGAGCCATTTCTGTGGGTTAGGAGTCCAGAGCATCATTTTGTGGTAATAAATCCGAATTATCTTCTTGTTTGTTACTGTTTATTTAGATTTAGGGTTGTTGAACCCTTTCATGGCTAGGTTTGGTGTCCTTTTTGGTCCCTTATGAGGTTGGAACCATAGATCTGGACCCTTAGGGGTCCAGAGTGTCCCTTTACCCAAGCTTTTTGGGGATCAATGGAGGTTTTGGATTGGAATCCTCATGCCTTAGGTCAAAAACTCCATTATGGAGCTATAGTGGGTGTTATGAGCACCAAGATGGGAACTTTACGTGATGAATCAGTCGAGGGAGGCCAGATCTATAGTTTTGGAAGCAGATCTGACCTTAGAAGCGAGATTGGAGTGGTTGCATGGCACGGACTCGCCGAGTCTGTTCATCCGACTCGGCGAGTATCTTGAAGATTTCCTTGGGACTGTTCAGCGAGTGGTCCAATCGAGTCATGGGTAGACTCAGTGAGTCAGGGTGAGTTGGAGAGGGGTGACGGGTGGACTGAGTCAACCTTGGACTCGCCGAGTTGTCCTAGAGACTCGGCGAGTTGAGTCGGGGTAGCCCCGCGATTCATGCAGGTGAAACTCGTCGAGTAAGGGGGGGGGATACTCGACGTGTTGTAAGAAGATTTCAGAGGGTTGGTGAAAACGTCTAGACTCGCCGAGTCGCTATGGTACTCGCCGAGTCCGGTCAGACTTGACCGTTGACCGTTGACCAGAGTTGACTTGTGTTGACTTCTTATAGATAGTCAACCTTAAAGATATAAAGTATTAATTAGAAACATATAATGCTATAGGAGGATTAAAGCTCGGAGGATCGAGCATGAGGGATTCCCAGGATTCGTGAGATACCGAGATATGCGAGGTGAGTCTTCTCACTATACTATATTACCTTGAGTAGGTAACCCAAGCTATATGATAGAGTATTTGTATGCTATGTATGTTATGTGTTGTACTGCATTAGTTCTATGTGATTTATGTAGTGTATGTTTATCAGAGCTAGAACCTGAGGGTTCACAGAGTTTGGGTGCACGGACCCACAGAGTTATAGCCTCGAGTGGCTAATATGTGTTATATGTGGTATTTTTGGGGAACTCACTAAGCCTTGTGCTTACAGTGTTTGATGTTATTATTTCAGGTACTAGTGACGACCGTGGGAAGGCGCTGGCTTGATCCGTACACACACACTCGGAGTTTGTACATTGTGATCTTGGGATTTTGTATTGACCTAATTTGGATAATTAATATGGTTGTTTGATGAATAGTAATGGAATTATGTTTTATAAGAAAATTGAAAATTTTGTTTTGAAATTTACGGTGTTACATAAATAGTAAATATGCATCAAGCCAAGGGCAAAAGGTGGAATTTTTAATACTTGACTTAGGAGCTGTGGTATGTCTATTGTTGAAAATGTGATCTCATGTATAGGCCTGCACTATCCCAGTTTAAAAGGTACATTCAGTTAGACGATTGTGTACAAAAGCTAATAACTGTCCTGATGTCTAGTGGCTTAGGATTAAAGGACTTACAAAAAATCTTGTAAGAGCATACATAAACAAATAAAATCCATAACAATAATGGAATAGATCATTACATTCCATTATCATGTTTGGTTGGCTAGAGGAAATGGAATGAATTTCAGTCAATTCCATGCGTATAGTTGCACGATTGCTATAACAGAAAATAAGAAGTTGTATACAAACGCCATGTGTCTTTGTATGTTGTATTGAACTAATACCCTTTGAATAACATACTTCAGCTTCTGATAAATCTCCACTCTTATAAGCCTCGTTTCCCCTGCACAAATCAATTTATTTCAGAAATCAAAAGCATATTAGGTTTATACAAATGTAAAATATATAAAAAAGGGGGGGGGGGGGCTAAAACAAAACCTTTTTCGCCAACTATCACATGTTTCTTGAGCTGTAGCCTTTGTGTGCTCCCTGTTACCAGGGTTATGAGAATGGGACATTAACACAGCCAGTTCTCAGCTTATACATCTTCTGATGTGGCTGTTGTCTCACTGCCATGTCAGCACTAGCAAAAGATGTAACAGAAGGTGAATACATAGATTTTCATGTAAGCAAATATGTTTCATGTAAGCAAAATAGCAGTTTAATTATATACCTCCATCTACAATTTCTCCTTCAGTATTTCTGGAAATATGGAATGCCAGAGAAAATATGGATCCATTTGAAAAAGATTCTGTTGTCTCACATCCCTACATCATATAAAAAAGAAACACTTTCACTTTGTGAGAATCCATAATTACAAGATATTGCCATTTATCTTATGATGATGATTGATGAAAATGAAATCCAAAAGTCAAACAACAAATGGACAGATATATGATTACCTCAGAATCCACAGACATTTTGTTGATTGCAATATAAGAATCATTGTCCAAACATATGCCTCTAGCATTTAAATTAGTTGCATCAACATTCTCCTTGCTATCTTTTGGGTAGGTGGCTGCTGCTAGTTACAAAAGATATAGATACATAAAACATCCAAATTTATAATCCTCAGTGAACAAAAAGTAATAATAATGTCAAAAAATAAAAAACGGTAACCAACTAACCTGGTTTTTTTTTCTAGCAGAGGATGTAATCATCTGAGAGGCTCTGTTCTCTTGGTTGTTAACATCTTCAGGCACCTTCTTCTGAGTTTTTGAAACTTTTGGACTAGTAAGTGCTTTAGAAGAATTTCTTCCCATTGCTACTTTCTTGGTTTGCATCTCAAACTTGGGAAAGAACCAGATTCAGATGCTTAACAACTTCAATTTTTTGGTAGATATGTTTATAAGTTGTGATCTTCCACAGATTGTCTGACTGGCATAAAGTTGCCTAACAAATTGGGAAATTTTATTTTAAGTTTGAATAACAACATGAATAATAATAATAAAGAATAGAGATTGAAATGTAAAGAAACATATGGGCGGGGGTGTGATGCTTGCCTGGATTGTATTGTGTGCAAGGTATCTTTGGTTACTTACTTTAAAGCTGACATCAACCCGTTCCCAGCTTATTTGACTCAATCCCTTAATCATCATTTCTGCATTTTTAATTGATGGTATTAGAATTCATATAACTCAATAGTTGAATAATGAATTGGTTGCTACCTACCATGCTGGCAGTGGCAGTGGCAATGGCTGTCTTAGTCTTGTGGGTTTTGGGCTGTGGGTCCAGAGAGGTTTCTTATTTTGTGATATTTTCTGCATCTTCCTTGAGAATATGGGGATATCTACCACTTCTCACAAGATTTTTAATCTATAAAAATACTGAGATAAATTAATTACACTATACCCAGTAGTATTATTTTATTTCATTTTTTTTTACCTTAGGCAGCTGAATCTGATGACGGATTGATGATGTGATCCATCCCACAAGATCTATTTCAAGTGCTTGAGTTAAGGAAAAAAACATCCAAAACTTAATGGTAGATTTTTTCAGGAAAAAATATTAGGATACGGTCTGAATGGACATTTGCATAAACAACACGGCGTATGAACGACTGCAATGCGGATCTACAAAATCAACTACAAAATTCATGCAAACAGATCTCCAAATTCTCCTTCTTTTCTACTGTGTTTAGCTGAAAAAGGGGGGGGATGTCAATGAAAGACTTACATGAACTTTAGGTGTTCTGAATCATTGGCCATCTGAACCAAGAGAGGGGTCTGTCTCTATCCATTAGCCTTGTCTTTCAAATACAAATGTCTTCCTATTCTTCTAACCACCACTGAACTGTGGTACTCTACTTTTCTCAAGACCTCTGACTCCACAGAACATTGGGACCTGAAACCACCAACACTTCCATCAACTATTTCCAAATAATTAACTCACAATTTACAAACCTGTTTGTGTCCTCTTGAGCCAAGGTGTGGAGTCGCAACTGTAATAAAGTTAATAGCCTCAACTCCAGCAATTTTTCCAGATCTGTCTTGGTATGTTTGATTCTGTGTGTAGAGCTTAGCAATAGCATATCTTGATATCAGGCCACCAAGTGAGTGACCTATAAATGATATCTTTTCAACTTTAGGATTGCGTTCTATCATAGATATCACCTGCAACCAAAACCACCACTTTTACTTCAAACTACAATGATGTGTCATAGCAGAAATGAATATTTCTAGGTCTTGGATTTAACCCTAAAAATTATTAAGGAGGATGATACTCACCTCATCTGCTAATTTGCTTCCCATTACATCAATTCCATCAAGTGTTGCTAGTGCAGAGTTATGTCTGCTGCCTGTAGAGCATATCGATACACAATATATAATATGGAAAATAAAAATTATGATACCAATAATACAACCAAAGTTCAACAACACTTTTAACCAACACTAATTCTTTTTTCAGCTTCCAGTAATAACATCAAGTTCATAAACATTTGGTATGCACAACTGAGAAGTATCTTCTGAAAAGAGGAGAGGAGTGCTATAGAAATGATTACATTGAACAATAAGATCCTTGGGATACTTATTTAACAACTTCTAATAAAAATTTTTGGTAGGTATGTTTATAAGTTGTGATCTTCAATTTTTTGCATCTC